TGATCCTGGTCACCGATGGCCACTTTCCAACTGCCCACCAGTTCCGCGTTCGAGTTCTTCGTCTGCAACTGATTCGTCCACTTCTCACTTCATACCAACAAAACAGATATTCATTGAGTTGTTCTCGCAGTTGATCATAGATTCAAGAAATGGTAAAACCGATGATAACTCACTAATTGTTGAGATAAGCCTCGGAACTGCTGGGCTTCACGTCGTGCTCTACCGATGAATACAAACAACCAATTAATACATCACTTCTTGTATCTAATCTCATCTAAGATCACATCTACTGATAAGAGACCCCTATTTGATAGCACTGTATCTCTAGTCCTATTCGTGTCTAACTGTTATCATATTGTCCTAATATATACTCATTGAATGGGGATTAACGGATCAAATGGAGTGATCAAAAAGTGGTGACAAACTTTGCATTTCGTAGACAATCTCCGTATCGCTAAGAAGTCTGGAGTGAGACTCTCTACCAGGGTCAATCTTCCGCACCATCAACAGCTTCGACAGCCATCCCTCGCTCTCCAGACGGCTATCGCTCGAGTGTAAAGCTCTTCGCACGCGTGACCATCGGATGAGACAATTGCATGAAATCAGTGGCAAATTGGGATCAAATGGCAATCAATTACCGAATCGTTTGCGAAACCAATCCGTTATTGAAGTTGTGTTTCAATAGTGAGCTATAGTTGCAAAACCTTTGCATAATTGCCATCAGATTTGTCTGTTTATTGGCTTCGCTTTGATTTCATATGAATTTTATCGTAAAATATATTTAATTGCAATTCATTTCATACAAAGTTTGCATTAATTTTATGGTTTTGTTTTGTCTCTTACTCTCAATGGCATTGAAAATCGTTTCAATCCATAACTAATGTCGTGTAAAATGTTTCACTGTTTTTGTGTCAAACTTTGTGTCCAACAGAATATTCTTGCATTTGTTGTGAGAATTGATTTTTTGTTAAAATTTTGTAAAGTCATATCATAAGTGGTCTTGCTTATATTTTGTACATTTTTATATTATTAAATTTATTTTTTAAGATTACAAAATGACAATTTTATGACTTTTTGTTTTGTAATATCCAAATATATTTTACAATACAGTATCGCAAGAATGTTATATTATTTTATGAAATGTTATACAGTACATCATCATAGCAATTTATACACATTAGCTAACTTTTATAACTTATATAATTAAAGTTCAGATACTTGATAAATGAAGACCTTGCTCAGAAATCAATGTATCGCGTGATAATTGTAATATTTATCGTTTCAACCCTTTCCTTAATTTACTAATTATTGCACTAATTATTACTTATCTTTTATATGAATTTTAGTACTTTTATTGTGTGTTAATAGATAAGTAGATCATATAAAAAAGTTATTATAATTTGTTATGAAATGTTTTAAATGTGTTGTTTCAAAATATTATTGACTTTTGACACTTTTATTTCTATTTGGTGATATAACATTGTCTTAACAAAATAAATATTTATTACATTAACTCTCTTATCAAATCAAAGTTTAATAAAAACCAGGGTTTTGTAAGCTTTTAATGATGTTTTGAACACTTTGTACTTACTGTATGTTATAATTTTATTAAAATAACAAAATACTAGTACTGTAATGAATTGATAATTTGATTAGATTTATAAATCGTCTTATTTGAAATATGCAAACAAAGCTATTTATATTAATAATTTGTTGTAATAATTAATAAAAGTTAGCAAAACAAAGTTAGTACAGTATAGTCAATTTTATTGTTAATCAACAATAAGTTACCGTATAAACTAAATATTTGTACATAGGAAGTGTTATATGTGAGCTAGATTTTAAATAATATTTTTATCTATTATTAATTATGCTAAAACAATTATGGTAATTTAAACGCTTTATAAAAAACAATATGCACTGTATTTCAAATTCTAAACAATCGGAATATTTTTATAAAAAGATTAAAGCAATAAACTTTATGAATGCAATTACAGAATAACACCTGAATATAAAGAGGTATTTCAGGTGTTATATTCACCAAATAATGAGCCAAACGTATACGAAAAAGATGTTCAAAACGATATATTCAGCGATTCTTATGCTAGCAGTCATTGAATTGATTATTTGTAATGAAACTCCAAAGAAAAGTTATAAAACACAGAAATCGTGCGGAAATACAAAACCGATTCTCTTTAAAGAAAGCGAAACAAGTCATCGGATGATTGAAATTGTATTTCTAAACAACACTATAATTGATTGCTTTCTATACGGAGACAAACAACTGGCAGAAAATGCCATCGAAAAGAAGTTATGCAAACCTAAAGTCAAATTTGTGGACCCAAAAGCACTTTCGTCGTATGCCTACCGGTGCTCCGAATGGTTGTCCCGACAAATAAGGAAAGGAGAGGTACCGTCCTATTCAGACGAAGACTTTCCCGATGAATATAATAATAAAATTGACAGAAATTTTTTTGAAGGAATTCTGGTAAGAATTTCTATTAAAGCAAAAATAAAACTATACAACTCTAAAGCAATTATACTTTAATTTTCTAATATAGATATTTCCGGGAACTAAATGGTGTGGCGCTGGAAATATTGCTGAACATGAGAATGACTTTGGATCTGAAAAGGATACGGGTATGTCTAATATTACCATAATATTAAAATGCAAGAAAGTCTTTAAGTATAGTATTGTCTAATCAGACCACTGTTGTCGTCAACACGACCATTGTTTCGACTCAATCGAGAGCGGAGACACTAAATATAATCTCAAGAATAAAGCCATTCATACAAAGTAAAATTTCATTTATTTATAATTGTTGTCTAAATTTGTTGTCCATTTGTCTATTTATATTTATATTTGTTGTTTAAAATTTTTTAAAAAATACTATAATTATAATTTTAGGAGTCATTGCTACTGTGATCAAGAATTTACAGATTGCTTGAAATCTGTGGACAAAACAGTATCGGAAAGTATAGCAAAACTTTACTTCAATTTAATTCAAGTGCAATGTTTTAAGAGAGATCACCCGATCGTTGACTGTTTGGAATATAAAGGGTTTGCAAATATATTATATTTTAATTGAGTGCTTTCAATGAACTAATTGTTATATTCACATAGAATTCCGTTTTTCTGGAGAAGTTGTCAAAAGTATGAATTGGATTATTCAAAGCCCATATTATACCAGTTTTTTGACGCGAAATTCATCGATTAATTTATTAAACAGATAATAATGTAAAATATATTACAGTATAAATAGAATCACTAATGAATTAGTTTAAAATTCAGTTTGAGCTACAATTATATGTGTATATAATTCAATACAAATTTATGCTATATAAAATCTTTCAGCGTAATGAATGGCCTCAAAGACAACCTAAAATAAAATAAAATAAATTTCATATCCATCGAAATAATAAATGTGTTAAAATGATTCAAACTGACCTCGATCACAATGAGCCAAATGATCATCCACTCGAGTTTTGCGCTGTGATTATGATTCAAATTATTAGACAATAACTCCATTAATTCGATGCAATGATTGAGTTTTTCGTTCATAACATTTGTTCGTTTTCTGATATTCAGGAAATGGATGGTATCCACAAATAGCTTCTCGAGCTCGTGTCGGTCCCAATAGAAGTCCGGGGTATCCAAGAGGTCTGAGCTGAGGTTAATGTGATGTTTCAAATCAAACAGTTCTCCAGTTTTGCGGAACACCTGATCGCGAGTCAGATTGAGTTTAGTGCCAGCTTTCATGTCCTATAATATACAGTATATACCGAACATTACTTTAAGTTTAATGTCATTTCAGGCTAACTGTCCACTTCAGCATTACCTGACTGACAAACTCTATACTCTGAATATACCGGTCCAGCAATGACTCCCAAATCGATAACTTAACTATAGGTAATAATTAATTTAAATATTGATTATGGGGTTAAAAACAAAATGTAAACCAACTGACCGGACAGTGCGATGGCATCAGAGAAGGCATACCTCTCTAAATCGGATTCAATTCCCTTAAGATTACTAGTCAAACAAATCAAACCCTTTTGTAGTCTTGATTTCGTGCTAATCGTACAGAATATGAATGAGATTTATAATAATTAATAACCAGATATTGATTGTAAGTATTGATGAGAACTGACGGAACAAATTGATAATTCATTTCCTCCTGTTCTTCGTCAACAATACTCTTGTCGTACGGATTGTCTTCATATTTCTTGAGAAACTTGAGAATCGCTTCGCACTGAATGGCAAACAATTGGATACACTGTAAGAATCACATCTCAAATGAATAGACAATTACCTCGACGTATGGCATATTCCAGCAGACAATAGATCCCTCCCTTCAGACAAATTACAAGACAATTATTTCCGTTATTTGAGACAAATATGAATAATTAGTTTTGAGTGAAAACCTGAAGACAAAGAGTTCGCGACGGATGTGATTGATCTCGTATTTGGCCCTCAAATGGAGGACATCGTCCACATCGCCATCAAAAGACATCAATTCATACAATCCCTGCTCTTTGAGACCTTCGGCCAACTCTTCGACATTGTATTCATCGGCGGTACTGAAGGCGAGAATCGGTAAAAGAGATTCATTGGTGTCGATCACAGCCTTCTTCTTAGTGATGCGTTTCTTGGACTTCAATGATTGCAACTCATTGTCACTCAATGTCTTGGACTCGACTATCGTGTCAGTCCTCGCAGTCGAGAGCCCACGGATGGCATCCAAAGAGTGGTCTCTTTTATGAGCTAAGAGTTGTGGCAATGGTTTGAAGTGAGGACTCAATACACGACATAAACCCCTCTTTCCATTGAACACTACTTTTGTCCCATAATTATAGCACTTATTCACTAGAAATGCATTCAATAGACGACTCATTACTGGAAAAGTTGTCATAAGTTTGCATTAATTATAAAATTAAATTTCTATTCATTTCCAATAAACTAGAGTTTGATTTGAATTTGAAATTTTCAAAACGCTTTCAAATTAAATGTTTTGATTTCATCATTCAATAGTGAAATATATCCGCAAATAATGTCAACTCCAATCAAATCCCTGTTGTGTTGAATGCAATGCAAAAGTGTGGTAAACATAACATTATTACTGAATGTGAATCACATGTTGACTTACATGTGAGGGACAGACATGAGTTGATTCACTGAATTGGCACTAATTTGATGCCAAAAGCAGTTTATTTTAATTGAAATTATTTTTATAATTATTGATCACTTAGCTAATTATTTCTTAATTAAATCACAACAACTTAATAAATACCGTATTTATAAGACATTTAATACAAAATACATTAACTTAATAACTTCATAGAAAAAGTTAAGAATTTTCAGTACTCTAGTACTCTAAAAGTTCTAGATACTTATAAAATATTTTAATTAATTTCTTGATACTGTAATTAGGATGCTAATTAAAAAATAACCAATATTTCAAGCGTATTTGTAGCAGTGATTGCAAAACACTTTTCAGGTTCATATGAAAATTATCATAATTTTTTATCATTAATTAAAAAGTAATTCTAATTATAAGTTTACAAAGTTTTTAAGACTAGGTATTTAGAAAAGTTTTTTGAACTTTTATAAAAAATTAGTTTTGATTTGTAAATAATTGTCGCATACTACCACACAATCAAAACATCTAGATAAATACCTGTACAGAAATTCTTGATTATTAAAATAGTATTTTAAACATTGCATAAATTTGGCTTAAATCATGATTTAGGTCTTAAAAGTCAAGTCATAGTAATTGTATGGAAAGAGGACAGTGGTGTTTGTGGTGATAATGAAGTCTTATTGATTAGCATTTAGTTCCACTTCAGACAATGTATCATGGTCAAATTAGGTGCAAATGACTGATCAATTGAAATTCATGGCAAGACCTGAAGGCCTGCGCAAAGGATGGCTTCGCTGTTATAACCGTTTGGTTCCTTTGGATGAGTGGTTAACATAAGAATCTTTGAATGAATTCATGTTTTATAATCATTTCATGTCATCTCTATATCCAATCGATAACTTTTCTTACAATTCATTTCAAATTCATACTAAATTGTTAACTACTTCGCAAAGTATTGACAAACTATTTTGCGAAGCAATTAATGAATGCATGCATTAATCAGATGAAAAGTACAGTAAAGTCAGTACAAGAAAGTGTATGCGAATAGAAAGTCTAATTAACTGAAACAAAGTATCGATTATTTAAATGTTGTGAAAATAGACTACAAATGCAATACAATGTAGTGAATGGTCTAATAGTGTACAAAATGTTAGGCAATGAAAAGTGAGAGTAGAGTCAGGCGTACAGTGAAAGTGAAAGTGAGAGAGAGAGAGAGAGAGAGGGCTCGAGCCGTAGTACACCGTACTGTACACCAGAGTTGCATACAGTTTGACAGCAATCATAGCAATGTATTGGTTATGCAATGGGTTTGCTATGAGCTGTAGTATTGCAGTACTCGGTGTTACAGTGTATGACTGTATGACTGTATGACTGTATGACTGCACGACTCTATGACTGTATGCTGTGGTGAGTGTGAGTCCACTCTCTTGACTACATTGAACGTACAGTGAGTGCCACTGACAGTGTGTTTGCGACACTTCACTGTAAACTGGCGTACATTTCAATACAATAACGATATCTCTTGGCTTTTATTATAGATTATTGCAAAAGCATTACATTTATCACCAGTTTATCAAACAGTGCTGTTAATCATCGACTCATTACAATTGAATTACATTCATATTTAACACTGTTTTCATGTTTAACTGATTTTATAGTCAATTAAATTAATAACTAATTTATTTATTATTAGACGAAAATGTTAATCAAAGAGTTGTAAGTATTTGTTTGACTCATAGATTCAATTTAATTAGCGTTTGATTTGAAATTAATTATCAAATATTGTGAGAAACCGGTGTTTAGTACACGAAATGTTTTACTGTTTCAATGATATCTCATTTCTAATGCCTTTTCCTTATAAGTCGTGTCATTCTTCCGCTTACTGTCGAAGAAGTGAGTATTTGGAGGGATGTGTCATGAATCTAATGGACTAAATGGTGTTCAATCTGTATGTAGTACCAAATCGGACAGTTGTATTCAGTGGCCGAGGCCTCCAAGAACGAGACGGGCGGTGGTGAGGGAGTGGAAGTGCTTCAGAACGAGCCCTTCGATGACTACCCACTCCTGGGCGGCCGCTTCACCAAAGGCCAGTACACCAAAAAGATTTACCACTTGGCCAGGTATGCCACACCATCACCACATTCAGAACACTTGTATCCAGTTCGCACACTATATATCACTACCGCCCACAGTATGCCTCCCTCTCACCCCACCTATCACTCAATTAGCACTGTTTTAGCGGCAAATCTCACTCAAGAATTCAATGTATTGAATGTCTGAATGCCATAAAGTGTTGAATAATTTTTTGTGTCAAATGCCATGAAATGACTGAAAACACGACTGTTTTCCTCCATTTGATGAAAACACTTGTATTTTCAAACATTGAATCAATTGCTGAAACTCTATACACACACCAAACACATGCAGTACTCTATGAAACCATTGTATTTATATATTGTCTAATGAACTAATTGTATGGTTATGTTATGAACGGATAGCAAAGTGCCGGGTGTCGTCAAATTCCTGGCACCCAAAGGTTCCCTTGAGATACACGAAGAGGCCTGGAATGCATACCCCTATTGTAAAACTGTTATCACTGTAAGTATTGATCTGTTTATTCTCCGTTTATTTGTTTCATTGATTTTGTCGAGCAAATTGTTTCATACAAATTAATTAAACACGAAATGTTTGTCATAACTAATTGTTTTGTATTGATGTTTGTTGGCGTGTGTGCGACCAGAACCCGGGTTATATGAAGCAAGGGTTTAGCATAACCATTGAGACCATGCATTCACCCGATAGAGGCACTCAAGAAAATGCACACTTCTTGCCGCCCGAGAAGTTAAAACAAAGGGAAGTCGTGTTTATAGACATCGCCAACGATACCGTTCTGACCAAAGTATGCCACCGTTTGTAGGATTGGTTTTCCAGTGTTTTCTAATCGATTTGTGTTTAGGATTACAAACCAACGGAAGATCCGACGAAAATGAAGTCCGAGAAGACGGGTAGGGGTCCACTGACGGGCAAGAATTGGCAGGTGAGCCACTCGACCATCCGATTGACTGTTTTTACTATAAATGTGTGTCTAATCTCAGGAAACGGTTGAGCCGGTGATGTGCGCCTATAAGTTAGTGACCGTTGAGTTCCGATGGTTAGGATTCCAGAATAAAGTCGAGTCATTCATTCAAAAGGTTTGCACACATATGACAACATTTGATGGTGTAGTTGTTTAACCCATTGTGTGCACCGGTAGACGGAAAGGCGTGTATTTTTAAACTTTCACCGCCAAGTGTTCTGTTGGATCGATCGATGGCATGGATTAACGATGAATGACATTCGAGACATTGAAGACAAAACCAAACGAGAGTTGGATGAGGTATGGCTCGAAAGCAGATGTTTTTGACACTTAATTGATACTAATTTGTGGAGTATTTGATGCACTTTACAGATCCGAAACCAGGGGACAGTTAGGGGAACGCAAAACGAGGATTAATATTAACGTTTGGTTTAAATTAATTTAAAATTCAACTCAAATTATATTGAGATATATTATAAGCGTTTAGATGAATGTTACGATAAATTGAAAACAAATTTTTAATTTTTGAAATTTAATTTAATATAATTTCTATAAAATCGCGGATTTAATCAAAATAACGAATGAATGCATAAATTATGTTAACTTTGAACTCAATATATATCATCGAAAAAATGAATGCCATTTATTAATTAAATTATTTTATTAAGTTATAAATGAAATCTATTAGAAATATATTGTAATTTGTGAGTAAATAATACGAGTCAGTATGCGGACAGTTGTCTAACGCCACTGTCCATCAGAGCCTAAATTTGATTAAATTCGCACAAATAATATAAATATGTCTTTTGAAGGCATTGTTGAGTCTTTCATTAATTTTCGAGTTAAGAAAGTCTTGAGTTATATTGCAATCAATTTTTTAATTTGATTTTAATTAATTAATCAGTTTTTTCAATACGTTTTTTGTATTATTTAAGATAATTTCGATTAAAACTCAATTTTAAGCAATTAATGAAAGAAAATGTGAAATGCATTCCATATTATAAAACAGATTTTAAATGATATTCCTATTAATACATTAAACAACTAAGATTTATTATTCATTCATTAAATGTGTGATTCAATTATACAGTATCTGAATGTATTAACGGTTAAATCAATGTATTTAAAACATTTTATTATAACAAAAATTTTCGTTTTCTTTCGATTAATATAAATTTGTTTTCTTAATTATTTTGACAATTGTTTCACAAATTATTTAAAATGAATTTATTGTATGGTTTGGGATTCAAAGCCCCGATACAAAATGCAAGTTATAAGTGTGTTATACTAAATAGTGTTGAAAATACTGTAAACTATACATTTTGGCTCATTATTATGTATAACTTATGTAACAAATAAGTCTAACCGTACAATCTATTGCTAAAACAGCTAGCGTTGGCTGTTATAGTGCTGTCATATCATAATAAAAATGATTGAGAATATTATCGAAATTAAGATTAAATTTCAAAATATATAGTCAATTGTAGTTCATTATTGCCAATAGTCTATCGAAATGTGTTCAGCAACTAATGGCTGATCCGGAATCCTTGTTATTCATACCTATAATAACTGTATTGTTAGTGATTCTTGCCTTCAAAAATCTATATTTTTGAGTAGGCATTCAATTCCTATTATTAGTATTACTGTAACTTATTATATTCTGTAGAATATTAGTGTATTATTTTTTTAAATTCAATTAATTTATATAAAAAGAATAACTTATTATTTTATATAATAATATTAAGAAGGTTGTGTAATTTTTGATTATACAAAAATAACAAATCGTTAACAAAACAAATATTAATTTGGATAAATCTGCATAACTGGAGATTTGAGAAATATTTGAATGAAATAAACTTAAATATATGAATATAATAGTAAATAAATAGGAAATTAATCATCAATTCATTGTTCTAATGACAGGTATAGTGGACTACGTGTATGGATATACTATATTATACAGTAGACTATGATATTAATAAACGTTAACAGCAACCAAATGTCTGATAAATTTATAGTACTTTAAGTATATTTGCCGCAGTTGTCAACTCAAATGCGATAACTACAGTATTTTCCTAATTATCAAAATCATTTCCTGAGGAATATTTGGTTATTAGATAAAAGTCAATACAATAAAAGCGAATAATTTTCTACAATTTTAAAGCCTTCAATAATTAGTTTCAGGATATTTAGACATTTATTCCCAGTGGAAGTAATTGCAATAAACAATTTAAATAACTGAAAATATTCAATTAGTTCAATTACTTACCAAAATCGGTCAAAATGTGGGTCCATTTGGAAGTGGCATTCATATTCATATGCCAGTCATTGTGGATAATGAGAATATAAGCAAAATCTCGACCAATTTGTATTCAATTAGACTTTATTGTGTCATATCATAAGAAACTGTGAATTCATTCATTGATACATAATTTTGTTTTTAAAGACGAAAAGTCGTCTAAAATTGTCTCTTAAATAAAATGAAAAACTATAACAGAAAAAGTGACTCAATTTGTTTTCAATAATAATAATATTAATAATAGTCGTTATAATTTAAAAATACAACATTTGAGTAATGAATTGTATATAAGGGGTATATATTTACATCTTTCGCTTAATTGTAAAGAATCTAATAATATATTTATATAATATATGGTCATTATATATCGCATTATACATCTATTTCTTTAAATTAAATAAAACGCATAAAAATCTATTGTACAATAAGTATCGCTCGTCTCAATTGTATAAAATAATTATTATTTGGTTCAAAACTAATTTCAAAGAGTATTCATTCTATGATTTGCAATAAAATACATTTATTTACATAATCTTTATGACTGTTTGTGCACTTTCTTCCTCTCAAACACTTCACAAAAATTATTAATTCTTTAAATTATAGATTGTTTTTTCGGTATTGACTCACAATTCATGCAATGATTTATAATACAGTTTTTTATGAGAGATTCGCTTGTAATGAGTTTTTTACTTTTCACATGTAATTCGCGACGGAATGATTGGCTAAATATCATACCTCCAGATGTTTGGGCAGATTTGATGCTATGAAGGGCTCGGACCACATCCGCCGCAGATCACCCTATGATACGAGACACGCGTTAATCACTTGTTTATCTCATAACTATACAAATAATAATGGCAAACAATACATACTTTAATGTAAGCCATTGTCAGGAGTGGAAGTAAAGTGAATGGAACTAAATAGAGGAGTGCGGGCTGAGCCGCTTTGAATATCTCACTCGAGACCGTAGCTGTCAATAGACCTATCGTCACACACCACACAAATTAGTCTCATTTCTTATAATCACTTATTAATGTTGTGTCGCAACAAAAACATACCAAAAAAGTATCCGATGAGTGAACAGTGAAAATAAGTTATTTTATTAAAATGGTTGGGCGGCGGCACCCCCGCCTCCACCGAATTGAGTTGTGCTCTCTTGTAAGCGTCATATCTGAGTACAAAACACAGCAGTAATCCGGGCATAACCTGCATATTAAACAGCGATTAGTATGAAAATGAGATGAATGTCAAGTAATGTCAAGTCATACGATGTCCCCCAATCCCAACATAGAGAAGTGTCCCGAGTTTTGCATCGACGGAAATATCAACTTTCCCGGCAGTGACAGCTTCGGAGGCTCTTTCACGCCATTTAAATGCAGTCGTTTAGCTACGATTCCCACCGGATTGTCAGCTGTCTTTGTGGCCACCCGTACCTGATTTGCCACAACAAACAATTCAGTTTATATAGAAATATTCATTATAAAAATCATTTGTTTTAAACTAAATACTAGACTACTTATTTCATAGGAAAAAATATTACGGTATAGTGAAATGACATTGAATACAATATTCAATGTAAATTATTTATATATAAACACAGCAAAAGGTTAAACAAAAGGATGTTCACAAACAGAAACTTTGAGTTGAATAACTTAGTAACTAATTACAATATTTATCAATCGACAGCAAGTGTTTGTTATTTATTAATAGTCAAAAAGGTTTGACAATTAATTACCGTAATATGACTAATACTCAGTGGTTATCAATACAGTAATACAGTACTATTATTGGAAAGGTGTGCGAGAGTGGAAAGGGTCAGTGACACAATTAGTCACCAAATTATAAATATATGAATCAATTTAAATACGACAATAAGAGACAATAAACTGCATAACAAATGGACAAAACGGGTGATGACTTACCATAACATTGGAGCTGAAGATATATGAGGAGAAGAAGACCCAGAAGACGTCGTATATAAGTAGACCCGTCAGCAGAAGCGTTGAGACCTTAAGACTTGGCAGCCGTACAAATGCAATGAAAGCCACGCACAGACCCATTCCCATGGCGTCCATGAGAAGCCAATGTCCCGTCAGTATCCAAATGCACACTATTGTCACCGACAGCGAGAATGAGACCAACTCTGCGACTGTAAACCGACCGCAGATTCCAAATGATATTCTGCTAATAAATTGAGCCATTAATTGGTGTCTCAACGGATCAAATGGACGGACGACTCACTTCTTTTTGTCAGTACAGGGCCTCAGAATGTATTGACACATCGGAAGCAACAGAAATGCCAAAGCGATGGCTGCTATGACTGCAAACACAACACACGAGTTATGCGTCCGTTTAGATAACCATTCAGTCATTGACACTGATATTGAGGACAACACTTACTGGCCGTACAGATGGCGAACAGCATTTGCATCGAGTCGAAGAAGAAGAACATTATCAGTAGTGATATGGAGGCACCCAATGGCAGACATAACGCCTGCATCGTGTCCAACGTCTGCACACCTGTCCACACAATAACACATTCATTAGTAAATTGATAACAATTTGTTGTAATTATCATAAGTTTAATCTCATATCTAATAAGCAAATCCTATGCAAACTAATATCGTTCAATGGATTCAATGAATCATTGTTTAAACAAATTCCTTGTTTTAAATGTAAATCAAAAGTAATGTTTGCGACAAAGATGTGAGAAATACTGAACTGTTTTCACTGCACTGAACGCCAGAGTCCTTCTCCTTCTGTTTGGCCTCTTCTTCCATATTAAGAGATCTGCGAAATAGACATATAAGACATATAATAGACATTAAGACATATAAGCAGTGAATTGGTGACACAATTAGTGATATGTATGTGAAGTGTACCGAAAGCTGCCGTAAACGATGAGTAGCATTGATATCAAAAATGTTGAGACTCTCGAGGAATCGACCAAAGAATACATCCTATGATTGAGTTCACAATGAGTGACAGATTAAGACAATGTGTGAACAAATGGTTTATTATTAGACAAAAGCATACAAACCATTGAAATTCACTCATATTTGACACGAATTTATAAATAATATTAGGCGAAGAACTGATTCAATGGCTATTCATTGGATTTAATGATCATTTGATAGCATTTGTGGCCACAATTCAATGAATGAGTGGTTTATTGTTATTATTGTTTCAATGCATTCATTATATGCATACAAATGACACCCAATTGCGGACCAAATGTGTGACACAATAGACAATCAAATCGTCATTTTGTGGTCTCTTTGATGATAGCATTCAATGGATGAGTCGATGGGATGAGTGAAGCAGTGAATGAGTTAAATGTGTTTAAATGTAGACATAATCAGTGGTTAAATGCTTACACAAAGCAGTCGTGTATTGACTGTTGACTGTATTGAGTGAATGTGTGTTCGTTTGCAACGTTTGCAACAAACCTATGCTTCACTTCAGATGTAATCACAACTAGAGTTACAAAAACATTAAATATGAAACTCATTCAGCATACGAGTCGCTCGTATATAACATGCTGGTCAGGGGGTGGTCCACATTGCCCCTACACTGCCCCTCAAATTCTACTACATTTGTATTAACAATACTGTATTGAATTGAACTTTTGATCTTTGCTTTCACACACAATGAAATTATGAATTATTGTCTCAAATCCTATTAACCTTTGACCTCAACGTCTCTTTTACATAATCATACGTATAATGAACTCAAATACTGACAAAATATACAAATGATTGTATAAAAAGATGTAAAGTCAGCTGTTATGACAAATAAATGCTTATTAATAATTGACATAACTTTAATTAGCAGTTTAAACTTTGACTATACTGTATTAACATTAGCTTACTAAATACTTCAGACATGTGTTTATACACTAGATAATAAAGATTCTTTATATATGCTATGTTATATATTATATTATATTCAAGGCACATCTTGTAAGACACAGAATATTTTAAAATATAGTTCTTCAAGAACTACCTTGTTATTTTTTAAGTTAAGATTCTGAAAACAATTTGTAATTACTGTATATACAGGCATAAGATTTTAAATAATTTGTTGTAATATTCAAACTATTTCTAAAATTTTTTGTTTGAAAATATTTGAGAAATAATTTGTCACACATTGAAGCAATCGCTGTATAAATGGTTTGGAAGTAATGATAATTGAATTGGATGTCAGCCAATGTTGTGGTTGCACTGAATATGTTGACCCCTTTTATAAACAACTGTTTCGCACAATTCAATAGTTTTAAAGTTGCGGTAAAAAACTTTTCAGAGTTTTATGGAATCTATTTATTTGTATGATATGTCTCAAAGAATAATATTATACTTTAAAATATAAATAGAAAAGTTTTAAGTTGTATGTGAGTACTACAAGTAGTATAGAAGTATATTCTTAATAAGAATTTCTTATTTATAAAAACGCTATTGAATTTTACCACAAAAAAATTAATTGCTAGTGTTTTATATACGGTATTAAAATGTAAATACAGAATATATGCACAGAGTTTATTGGAATATTTCAATAAAAACATATTCACTGAATAAGTTGCAAATTCTGTACTGTACTCTACATATTATGTGTGTTTCTTAAGCTGAATATGAATTAAGTGAACACACATTTAGTTATAGGATTTCACTTTAATTCACATTTTAATATCAACATTACATTCAGTTTACGGCATAAATGCTTAAATAGTTTTAATAAATGATTGCTTTTATGAAAGACCTTCAAAAACACATCTCATATAAGACTTTGATTTCTCATTTGACACAACACTCTGTATTAACACGAATACCACATCTGTTTCTAATGGTTGGACCAACTCTTGAGCGCCTTATCCACGTCCCAGTGATTACAGGACAGGGCGGTGAGGGCCCGTTCATGGGAGCCACCCTTCGTGGCGCCCCTCACGCACTCGATCTTCTCCTGGAAGACCCGGAAGTCATTTGTGTCGTAATTCTTGCGGCTGTCGTCACTCATGGCGTAGCAATAGGTCCAGTACTTGGCGGTCATGTTATACATGGCCCGGTCGGTGGTGTACTGGTTGGCCACCACCGCGTCCTGCGGGTCGGACGGCTCCGGACTCGACAGAAACGACTGCAACGACTTGAGCACCGACTCGATGGTCATAGCGGCCGCCCACTGGTCCTTCAGTATGTCCAGACATATGGCACCGGTAGCCGACGAGATGTTCGGGTGCCATATCTTTGTGAGGAATTTACAGACCGGCGGTTCGAACGGGTATTTGTCGGGTATTGTGATGTCTATCCGGAAGACCCCCCTCTGGAAGGGTGTGTCGGGAACACCGAGTATTTTGCCGATCAGGTGCTCATTGGAGTCGTTGATGAGTTCGATGCAGAACTGATTCCTCATGAGATCGTTGTCTCTCATCATATTCTGGATCTCTTTGTTGATCCTCTTGTTTACGCCCATTGTCTCCGTTTATTGGTCTTTGGGTTCACTGTTTGGCAATCTGTTGGCCACTGAAGTCCTGCGGGTCTGTCGGATATCCGTTACAATCAGAAACTGTTGCTGTTTTTTGCTGTTAGAAAACTATTGAATGACATTTTGAAAATAATTTACCATTGCGCTCAACTGACCACGATACAACAATTCGTCTAATTCTGTAATTATACTATAATCATTATAGGCATTTGTGTAATGAATAATTTTATGACCGATACATTGGCGGCAATAAGTTTAATGATGACCGGCACAGGCGTATAATGATGATCCGGATGGCAATAAGTTTAGACGCGTTTCTCCCAATTATAAGTTCACTAAATCCGACCCACAATTGTTACCGGTCGCCCCCAAAAAGTCCGATAGTTTATTATCTTTGTCAATTAGTTGCCGTGTATTTTGTTTTGTCGCTTAATTTTGTTAATGTTTTCTGATTTTTAATTATATTTAACATATTATTTCTATAATAAACTCATTGCTTATAAAGTTATACAGTAGTACCAGTATAATTACTTTAGTATTACTGTATGTCTATTGGTTTTTGTTAGTGAACAAAGTCTACCAGAAATACAGTATTGTTATGCATAGGAATGGTAGGCGAAGGTTAATTATAAAGAAATAGGAACTGGATTAAATATACATTAAATATACATATACATTAAATATACATATACATTAAATAATGTGAATGAATTTAATCTGAAATCAAAAACTACAACAAATTTACTCATAAAACAAACAAACGAAACCACAAATCATCAAAACATGAATTCATTGTTTATTTTCAACTATATCTTTATAACTGTAGGACACTATAGATTTTTATGGACTAAATATTGCGATCATTCAATGGATTCGTTGCATTCAAACTCTACACCGGTTTTGGACTAAGTCTTAGATCCCGGGGCTTTACTGCCGACGCCACTCGAAGTCACCCCACTCTTGGCGCCACCGGTTGGGACTTTGCTGAGCGTACTTTTGGGGTGAGGGTCAGTGGAGCTCCCGACGGCACTTCCTGTCTTGGAGTCCGTTTTGGAGCCGGTTTTAGAGCCCGTCTTCGACGCCGGCTTTTCCGCGTCTTTGGATTCGCCTGTCTTTGAACCCGTCTTCGACCCCGTCTTTGAGTCGGTTTTGGAGCCCGTCTTTGACGCCGGCTTTTCCGTGTCTTTCGAGTCGTCGGTCTTTGAGCCGGTTTTAGAGCCAGTCTTCGAGACGCCACTGAATCCAAGAGCCGCTCCGTCGTCCGCCGTTCCGGTCTGCGATCCCGTCTTTGATCCGGTCTTTGAGCCGGTCTTCGACCCGGTTTTAGAGCCCGTTTTGGTGGCGTCGCCGATGGCTGATCCGGTCCGCGAGGATACGATCTTCGAGCCCATCTGCGAGCCCATCGACGAGG